GGCATCCAAGTATTTCACTCCTCAAAACGGTACCATTGGATGAAATTATAATATTTAAACTTTCAATGACATCCAAAAATATTTCGTTTTTTTTATATTTTATTCCTTCATTTCTCCATGATACCGAATTGGTAATGGCTGATGGTATTTTTATATTTTTTACTGTTAATTGGTGAGCTTTATTTTTTATATACTCTCTTAATATTTTCACTTCACTTAGTTGTGGAAATCCATTATCAATCATTTCGTCTAACAACTCATAGGTAATTACGAAATTGTCTTTTATGCTTTCCTCCTCCAGCACTTTAAAATAGTCCTTGAGTACTTGAATTAATTTGTAAAGAAATGTGATGATCAATGTGGCATTACTGTTTTTTCTCGTTACTGCTAGGATATATATATTGTTATATGTTACCCAGCAGTAGGTGAGACCGTTCACATGGAATATGGGCTTTATTAGATTGTCTTCCTGATCGATTACGCAATTGTAAAATACCTCTGTCAGGTTCATGTTCACTTCACCTCGGTAGTTCCTGTTGATGATTACCTTCCCCTTCATGTCGATGATGAAAATGGCGCTTATGCACGCCATCCTTGCAGCTATGTGTGTGATGGCGAGGGGAAGGGGGGGAGGCCAGGAAAACAGCGGTGAGGGGGTCCCCCTCTCCTACTCAAGGTGAGTTATTCCCTTTATGAGATATGAAGGGTCTTTCTACTGTTCGTCCCTTCTTTCCTTCTTCTCGACTTGTTTTTTTTTTTATTCTTTCTTCCAAATCTTCTCTCAACACGGGCCTAACGCTTCTCAGCAGTTGTGCCATACGGTGTTTGGCGGTAAGGGGGGGCGGGATCTTCAACGGGCGAAAACCATACCCTTCTTTGGTTACATGCTTCGTGGGGGGAGAGAAGGACGAAATTTGGCTCTCAGCTCCGCTGTGACTGCCATGTAAACAACCTTCCTACTACTTCATCACTTCCCAGCATGGGAAAATAAAATACATAAACAAAGCGGCCGGAGGGAGGGGAAAAATGCCGCTATGCCACACAGTGAGGACCAACTCACATAGCACCTGCAAAATTAAATATTTTGCAGAGTGGGAAAATCACCCAAATTATTTCTTCTTCCAAATGGCGTTTTCCATGATATATGATGAAGAAGCGGTGACCCCTAACAGCTCGTTCGCGTGATGGGAGGTGACACAAACGTGGAAAAACAAAAACGTGCGCGCGTGGCAATGGGGCAGAACTGCTTCGAAAAGACTATCGCCCAAATGGCTTGCCGAAACAACCCTGTGTTCTGATGAATGCCCCCACTATACCACGAGCATGTTCTCACACAGAATGCAGGGAAGTATACATGCCGCTTATGGTACTTATATTTGTGGGCATAAGTCAGCTCTGGTGATAATCTGGTAACTTCTGAGCGGAAATGGAAGGTGACAAAAAAAAAAAAAAAAACAAGCCAGGATTTTTCACCTTCCATTCATTTTCGTACACCGAAATGCGCGATGTGTGAACTGCGGGTTTTCTCCTTCCGCTGTACTCCTATGTGAAGCGGCACCTGTTCTTTTGTGTACATGTTAACAAACTATGCGCAGCACTTATTGGTAATACAAGCACGTGAAAACGTAGCTTATCCGTTTGGGGAAAACGACCTTTGCGTATCACGTATTTATTCTAAATTTATTATTATTTTTTTTGTTCTTCAATTTGATTGATTTATGTTCTCCATTTTTGCACAAAAAAAAAAATTACCCTTGTGATGGAAATATGAAAAACAGCTCATCTGCAAAGACGGAAACGAGTTGTTTTCCCTCGAATGATGCATGGAGAGAAGTCGTAAAGCAATAAACCATTTAATGAGCTCATCCTGTGGTATGCTTACACCTGCCCGCACACAACACCTTGAGGTGTTTGCTACATTGTACCTTTGGAAGTACAGAACAAGTTTATGCCCCCAAAATTGAAGAATAAAATTGGCAGTGCATTGATAGGCATGTTAGCATTGAAAATTTTTTCTTATCGTGCCCTATATGCGCTTTTTTTTTTTGGTACTTCACTAGTGGCCACTACCTTTGCTGGGACAGCGTCGCAGAGTGGCCTTCGTAAATATACAAAGGGGCGCCCCCCGTGGCGGACCCGCCAAAAAAAAAAATTATTTGCACAAAAAAATGTGCAGCGTGTATGTACATTTATGTGTAACACCACATGGCCTTCCAACTGTCCACAGTTAGCCGAAGTTATTCAAAAAAAAAAAAAAACAAAAAGAAATCACAAAACGGAAGACACTTTTATGTATGTGTTTTTTTTTTTTTTGTTTCCATTTTGTTGTGTCCTTTTCTGTCACGTATGTGTCTCCGAGTACGTACTTGGGGGAAGGTAAAAAAAAAATATATACACATCCTCAAACGGGGTAATGCATACGGGGCGATGTATACGTGGTAATACATTCGCGTAACAGTGAGGTCATATAGGTCCGCACTGCGACAAATGGCTCATTCCGAGTGAGAATACTCGAGCGCGCTACAAGGCGTTCGCACCGGATATAATTTCTATAAGCTCCAACGTAATTTTAGACTGCACATGGGAAAAAGGTGCACGCAGGGGTGTTGTAATGGGGTCAGCACAAAATGGATGGCAGAGGTGACGACCCAAAATGGGTAGACCAATCTGCTGATCCAAGGTGTCCGATGGTTGATTGGTGAGGCACCAATTTGTTGAACTTATCCGTTCATTTCTTTTCTTTTTTTTTTCTCCAAATTTTTTTTTTTTTTTCTTTCCCCCTTTTTACCTGTCTCGCCCTGTTATACCTGAGCGACAGGGCGTCTAACATCTCGGTGGCACTCGAGGAGGCGTTGTCCATAGCTGTCATTCGGGCAGACTGTATAAACAGGGAAAAGTGTGGGGGGGAGCATAATGGATTGCGTTAAATACGGAGGGTGTATATGTATATATGTGTGTGTGCTGAACAAGGTATGTCGTATGATGGAGGGGTAACTCCAGCTAATTGGATGAGAAAGTGTGTGCCCCTACGACAACTCCCTACATATGTGTAGAGGGTTGCGCTTTGTCCCCACCGCTGTTACATATTTCCTTACCTGTTCGGCGGCCAAATTTTCTATGATGCAGTTATAAATCAGGGAAGCAAAGTAGAACTCATAAATGTCTTTAAATATATGATCAAGTTCTGGCTCGAACTCGAAAGTGGCTAGTTCCTTTTTGTTCATTTTTTTAAGCTGCTTTTCGGAAAACACACTTAATATTTTTGTATCAAAAGATATGGCTGATTTAAAATTATTATAAACAATAAGCAAATTCGTGTGGTTTTTTTTTATTATGCGTTCAGCAATATATGCACAGGTCAGGAAATTTATGGGTATTTTATTATACTCATTATAAATGGCTTCAAATTTATCCCCATGTAATCTATTTAAAGCTGATCTGATTTTTTCTCCTATACCATACAGGTATATTTTACTGGGGGAAAGATTATTAACAAGCTCATTGTCTACTTGTTCATTTTCTAATAATTTTTTACAAACTCTTGAGACGGAAGAATTGACACTACCGCATAATCCTTTATCTGATGAGATGGCAATAATTGCAAGGTCTTCATTTTTTTTGTGCATTTCTTGTTTATTTAATCTGTTGAATATATCTGTTAATGGGGTTGAGAAGTGTTTGCAATTTTCTAACCTTCTTTGGTCCCCTTTAAATTTGGACGCGGCAACCATTTTCATTGCTTTGGTGATTTTCTGGATGGACTTGATAGACTTCATTCGGAGCGACAGGGATCTGAGGTTGTCGCTTGCGAAGTTTCTCTTCGCCATTATGCTCAGGTTGTTCAGTGCGCACTGTTCTGCGCGAAGTAGCAGTGGGTTGTTCCAGGCCATTTTGATCATCTTTACACAAGGGTGAAATTTGGTGCGGTGGTTGCTAACCCTCGCGACGCTTCTAACCTTCGTGATGGCCCAAATATTTGATACACCCCCCACTCATTAAAGCTAAACGCTTCTTCCTTTTAACCTTGCTAAGCGCTAGAAGTTACCTTGTGGCTGTTTCATAAAATGCATTTTTTGTTTTTTTTCTTCTTTACCTCTCCTGCGCTGAGGGGTTACCCAGCTGGTGTGTTGCTAGGATATTCTCCTTGGGAAGAAGCCTAGGCGGAACAAAAGGCGACGCGGTTGAAATGGAATTCCTCTGAAGGCGTTCATCAATTCGCAGTGTTAACAGTACCACACTATGTGTGCTTAACTTGTATGGAAGTGCACATTATAAAGCCTGTCACTGCTCGTTCACCAAGTTTATTTTTTTTTCACCTCATTCGTAAGATTTTTCCTGCGTAATGCTTCCTCACAGGGGAAAGATATAAAAACAAAATGTGAACACCTTAGCGTCGCCCCACACTCTCGCTAACTTGACTTGCGCGATTGAAGGTATTTCCTCGCAATTGCTATTAATCGCCCTAGTGTAGTAAGCACGCCGGTGAGGGAAAATATATATAAAGAAAAAAAAAAAAAAAAAAACGGGTAACCCGAGCGGGAAGGTATATTTGTACGTATTTTTATAACCACTATTTTATGTACACTCTTTAGAGCAAAAAAAAACAAAAAAAAACAAAAAAATATGGCCAAAGTGTTAAGCGTAAACTGACCCCAAAAGGTGGTACTTCAAAACAGCACGACTCACCTCGCCAGGGAAAAAAAAAAAAAATGCAACGTTTACTCTGGAATAACATAACAAAGTGTGAGAAGAAGTCGGCTATTTGCTGCCTTTTGTTTGAGTTGGCTAACATGCCAATTTGAGAGCTTAACATTTTTTTTTTTTTTTTGACAGCCTACCTTTTTTGCAATTTCCCCGCAATAGAAAGTGGGGAGAACGCAACCAACGCACTGTCACCCACAAGTGGAAGTAGAGAAAGGAAACCGGAAGGGATAGAAAAGAGAAGGAGTGGGGGGGGAGAGACGTAGACAAGCCCCCCTCCCCAACAGTTTAAGCGCAATATGGCGAACAACCTGAATGTGTCAGCCCCGGACGTCATACGGCTGATCCTACAGTACTTGAAGGAAAATAACTTAATGAGGTCTTTTTACGTTTTGCAGGAAGAAAGCAATGTAAAGCTAAACGCAATAAGCAACGTGGAAATGCTAATAAGAGACATACACAAAGGAGATTGGAAAAATGTTTTGTATAACATAACGACGATCGAGCTATCTGATGAAACTCTAATAAATTTGTATGAACAGCTAATATGCGAACTTATAGAATATAAAGAAAATGAGTTAGCCGAAAAGATAATGAGTGAGTGCATTATATTTAAAAAAATGAAAAAGATGAATGCAGAAAAATATGACAAATTGGAAGATCTCCTCAGCATGAACAGTAAGCATGTTAATAAAAATACTTTATACGATGGGATAACAAAAGAGGAAAGAAGGAATAACATATGCGTGATGATTAACAATGAAATAACTTCATGTGCACCGTCCAGATTATTAGCCCTACTAGGGATGGCCTTAAAATGGCAGAATCATCACAACCTTATAAAAAAAAATAAAGAAAATGACAATTTTGATATTTTTAGAAATTTAGAAAAAGACGAATCCAAGGGTATAGATGTGTACCCAGAAAGGATTTTAAAAAGTATAAGTTTTGGTAAAGACTCAAATGTAGAATGTTGTATATGTTCGTATAGCCACGATTACTTAATTACGGGTTCATCTGATGGGTTCATAGAAGTATGGAGTTGGCTAACTGGACAATTAAACAGCGATTTACCTTACCAATATAACAATAACATCATGATGCATGACAATCCCATCGTTTCGCTATGCATTAGTAAGGATGATGAAATTTTAATTAGTGCAGATTCTAAGGGGTTAATCAAAATATGGAAAATAAAAACGGGTTCTTGTTTAAGAACTATTAATGCACACACGAACGCAGTGACATCTGTTCATTTTAATAATGATCAGACACAAATCTTAACATCTTCATATGACCTTTCTGTTAAAATATTTGGACTGAAGTCATTGAAATGTTTAAAAGAATTTAGAAAGCACTCTACTGTTGTCCACTCATGTGTGTACTCTCTAGATAATTCTAAAGTCATATGTGGAACAGAAGAAGGAAAAATATATATATATAACCAGAAAACTTGTGAGTGTATTACTTCATTTTATGTATATTACAATGTAAAGGATAATATAATTTTCCCTTCTGTGCATACCATCACATTATTGACAAAGACGTTGGACGAACTTATCCTAGTATGCTCTAAATCGCCCTATTGCTACCTTATGAATTTTAAAGGACAGATTATTAAGACTTATACATATTTAGCAGAAAAGGTCGAGGACGAAAACCCTGTGAATTTTGTCTCTGCGTGCCTCTCCCCCAATTCTAAATATGTCTACTGCTTGGCGGAGAACCAGTACCTTTATTGCTTTAATTATAGTACCGCCAAGCTGGAGACGCAGATCAAGGTCCTCGAGGAAGAGGCCCTTGGGGTGCTTCATCACACTACCCAGGATCTTATGGCCACTTGGGCTCTTGACGGCACACTCAACGTGATACAGTAGTGTGTGGGGGGAGGGGGCTAGCGGCCTCATCCGTCAAGCAAAATAAAAGCGACCCCTGTGGTTGTGCAACTCCAGCCGATGCAAATCGTAAAGTAACATAACATAGCATAAGAAGATGGCGGTGGAAAAATTATGTATCCAAACGTGATGGTGTCATTCCTGTAAACTTATTCAAATGGATGATCAACCCGGCGAGACGCCCATCAGATTGGAGTGGCCACTTCACCCCTTCACCTGATGAATGAAGGCTTTTTTCAAATGTGGACAAACTTGCGAAAAGGCCCATTCGTACCGATGCGGAGAAGAACGGAGGAAGATTACTCCGGTTCCATATATTCCGATTTGGTGTTTTTTATATCATTGGCTACCCCCTTTGTGTTAGTTTTTTTTTTTTTTTTTTTTTTTTTTCATAATTTATTTATATGATGCATGCAGAGTGTGCAGCATAATTCAGGGAAAAAATCAGTGTACATTTGCGCAAGAATTGTACATGTTAAGCATTTATTTTTACGGGATGTCACGATGAAATGAATTAGACGTTGTCCCGTATGCATGGGGTGAAGAGAGCACGCAGAGCGGAGAAATATACGTGCTATGCCTCTTCGCCCCACGTCGTCTTTTTTTTTTTTTTTTTTTTTTTTTTTT